GCTTATTGCCTAAGAGGATAACTGTGCTTGGCATTCCCTGAGAGGAGTACATTTCCAGACTCTGCAGACATCATGAATGAGTCCTAAGTGAGCTAGCTGGGGGAAGAGACTATTAGGATTGGGAAAGCCAGAAAGATTGGGGCCCAGGTGTTTGGCCAAAAAACCTTTAGGCATCAAACAGAAAATGAGATTTGCATGTGTTCAGTTTCCCCCTTCCTCAGTTAAACCATTTTGGGGAGGAGCAATTTGTGTTGGGGGCACATTTGTGACACTGACTTTATTTACTTCCTATTGAAATACTTGGCTTTCTTGGGCTTTGTTTTTGGTGACCTTAGTGATTGCATTAAATATAATTGGAATATTTAATTATTTTTATATTGTGTGTTGGTGGGGATTGAGGCTCCCCATCTACCACTGATATCCCCAACCCCTACAATTACACTATTTGAATGTAACATTTATAAAAAGAAACAGGGATTAGCCGGGTGTGATGGCACATGTCTATAATCCCAGCACTCAGGAGGCTGAGGCCGGAAGACTGCTGTGAGTTTGAGGCCAGCCTGGGCAAAACAGTGAGTTCAGGGGCAGCAGCCTGCCTCAAAGCTAGGGGGTGGGGGGTGGGATTTAGCTCAGTGGTTCCACTGCCTGCCTCGCAAGTGCAAGGACCTGATTTCAATCCCCATAACCAAAAAAAAAAAAAGGAAAGAAAAGAAACCGTGGTTAAGCCTGGTGTGGTGGCTGAGGCAGGAGGATCGCTGTGAGTTCAAGACCAGCCTGGACTACATAGTGAGTTCCAGGTTAGCCTCAGCTTCATTGTGAGGCCCTGTCAAAAAAAACAAAAGTGCCAGGGATTTAGCTCAGTGGTTCCACCACCTGCCTCATGAGCACAAGGTCCCAAGTTCAATCCCTGGTACAAAAAAAAGGCAAAGAAACAGTGATTAATAAAATTACTCTCCAGCCGGGCATGGTAGTTACACCTCTAATCCCAGCACTCTGGGAGGCTGGCTGAGGCAGGATTACAAGTTTAAGTCTATCCTGGGCAATTTAGTGACTTCCCATGAAGTTGTCTAAAAATGAGCAACAAGGAACAAGGGCCAGGTGTATAACTCAGTAGTAGAGATCTTGCCAAGCATGTGTGAGGAGGTCCTGGTTTCAATCCCTAAAAAAAAAAAAAAAAAAAAAAAAATTGCATCCAAAATCCTGTTGTAGCCAGGTGCGGTGGTGCATACCTTATAGTCCCAGCAGTTGGGAGGCTAAGGCCAGAGGATCACCAAGAGTTCAAGGCCAGCCTGAACTATATAATGAGACCTTGTCTCAAAACAAACAAAAAATCCTATTATAGCGCTAATTTGATGTTCTGTATTTAGATTAAATGTAAGTATTTGTTAAGTAATTTCGTGATAATTTATTCAACATGTACATAGTTTCTTCTAGTTTTGGTGTTTTGTTTTTTAGTTTTTTGTTTGTTTTGGGTACTGGGAATGAACTTAGGGCCCTTGCGCCTTCCAAGTTTCTGTTTTTTTTTTAATTTCTCTTTTAAATACGTGGAAAGTGCTTGTTCTCTCGCATTCAAAATTTGCCTTTTCCATTACGTGAGCAAGTCCGGAATTTAAACAGACACTAGCCCATCATCTCCAGCAGTGGATGTCATCCCCCTGGACTTCGGCAGCCTGAGTTAATTAAAAGGTTCAGATGAAGTTAATCAAGTTTGGAACTCTAATTTTGAACAGTGTTTTGATACAGTTCAGTGAGTCATCTTTTGCCAGAGCAGCTCTCCATCCCTGACTGTTTGATCTTAACGGAACAGGTTTATAATCTGTAAACCGGTAGGGAGGTGCTCTTCAGAAATGCAGTGTCAACAGCAGCGTGTATGTGTCTGGCTATTTGGGAGTGGTGGAAAACAGAACAAAGAGAATTTAATAAGCAAGAACTTGTCCGGGGTGAGGGTCAGTCCTGAGGCTGCTGTCTTCTAGAACATGGGTTTTTTTCTTGCCCTCTCTGCCCCTCTAACTGGAGTGCTGACATTTAAAAAAGAGTGAAAAGGGCAGCTTCTGTTTTCTTTATTGAAATAAGTGGCCCGACTGACTGGTCCCCTTCCCAGTGGCCGAGAGCTCTTCAGATGTGGTCAGTGAGGTATGTGCCTGGTGCCAGCTGCTTGGCTGCCTCCCCAATGTTCGTAGTGCCATCTTCTTTCTGCGATGAAACCAGACTCGCTCTCTGAAGACTGACGGGCAAGGTTTGCCATGGCCTCTGCCTGCACTGCTCACTGTGAGCGAGTAGTTCACAATGAATGGACCCGTTGTGAGAGTTCACGGCCCATCTGGAAAATGCATCTTACAAAAATGTGGTCAAATAGAGGCCCTCCTGAGGTGGAGGCAGAGCCAGACCACTTGACTTCTGTGTTCCTTCAGGGGCCTGCCATTTCCCCTGCATTGCCTTAGGTTAGGAAGCCAGATCTGAGTTTACATTTCTGCTCTGCTACTTCATAGCGATTACAGTAAACAGCCACTTCATGTTCCGAACTGCAATTCCTTCACCTGTAGGGTAGGTAGGTGATGGTTCTGACTGACCTCACCAGGTTATTAGGAGAAGAGGTGGAGTCTTTTTACATATACATGTTTGGCATGGTGCCTGGCACGTGGTGGGCACTCTGACACTTTGGGCTCTACTCCCAGAGCTGAATTTTCTAACCAAAACATGAAAAGTTTTCGGAGGGCTGAAAAAAAATTATCTGTACTCCCTGGTCTCTCGTGGCAGTTGTTGTTTCTGTCCTGATGACACAGAAATGAGAGGATCATGCAGGATCTGCCAGCATAATGTTTCTGCTACTGTCCCTCAGCCCAGCAGTTTGAAACAAGTAGCCTTGTTTAGTTATGCCAAGCCACTGGGCCTTGGTCATGTGGTATGAGCAGCCTACACTTAGCATTGCTTCTGTCTTCTGCTCAGTCAGCTCTGGTACCCATTCTCTTGCTGACGTCATATTTTTCTGTCCTCAGGAGTCATTGACAGAAATAATCACTGAGATTCTACACAAACCAAATGAAGCATCCTCTGTTTTGGCTGGACTAGCAGGTTTCCAGATTTCATTGTTTTTGTGGGGTGTTATGGAAAAAGAGGCTTGCTCCAAAACGGAGCATCTGCCACTTCCAGTCTTTCTGTGTCAACCCTCAGATGCTTGCTGGAGTGCATTTCTTACAGATCAGGATATCAGCAGCATGTCTCTGAGTTAGAGATTAAGTTTAAGTGATGACAGATCAAGGATAGCTAGCACCCAAATTGTCATCCAGTTTGAGGTGTTTGCCAAGCCTCCAGGTAACATGAGGGGACTCTAGAAGTTGTGTCCCAAAAACAAAGAGTAAGATTCTCAGACAGCAAACAGGATTCAGAATGAACAGGTATCCTGGAGCATTGGGGATGCAGAACCCTGCAGTGGACATGAGAAAGTTACCAGGGAAATTACAGACCCAGGACTTTTTCTCCATCACTGGCACTGAGGAAGGTGTGGCCTGGTGACAGGTTGTGGCTTCTTTTACTCAGTCTGTGGTTTGCCATAAACAGCCACACATGCTTCTTGAGTTCTCTGGTGTAATTTCATTCTGATGACAATCGCATTCATAGGTGCAAGAGATCCACCTCCCACACTCACACCCCACATCCACCTCACTTGCCATTGTACATCTTCTGCACTTAGGTCTGCCTGGCAGATGAGTGCCCAGTGAGGCAGGCTGGTGACTGATGAGTTCAAGCTTGTTGGAGAGTGATTGTCAACCCTGGCTGCTTGTTGCCAAAACTCTTCGTGAGTAGGAGCCAAATGCTTGGAATTTTTGTTTTTTGTTTTGTTTATTTTGTTTTGGGTTTTTTTGAGACTAGGTCTCGCCCTGTGATTCAGGCTGGCATCAAACTCGTGGCATCCTTCTGCCTCAGCCTCCCAGGTGCTGGGATTACAGGAGTGCACCACTGTGCCTGGCCAAATGCTTGGGCTTTTAAAAATTCACACAACTTCAGATTGCTTGAGTTTTTAGCCTAACTTGATTTTTAGGGAAGAACTCTTGTACTAATCATATAGTTTTCTGAATAAGTTTACTTTTTCCATCAGCAGTTGCTGAAAAGACTTAAATGAAAGTACTTGGGCAACTGTAGTGTAAGAGCTGTCTTAGAGCACCCAGGGCTTGGGCCTGCCTGGATGCTGATCCACACGTCTCATATTCCATTCTCAAATAGCCTGAGGTATAGGAGAAGGTACTCACGCAGAGGGGCTGGACTCAAGGCCAGCTGTCTGTCCCTCTGCCCTGGGGAGCACAGAGGGAACAATGCCTGGCCACTCGGGACACAGGTAGCATCAGAACAAGGTACAGTGTCGGTGGAATGTGCTGGATCCTTGGCAACCATACAGTGTTTCTGTGGGGGTTTTGTTTGGGCTAAAAGCTTTAGCCATGTTGGGGTCTCCTTACACATAGCTCTTACTTAAAGATCATCAGAACCTTTCATCTGGTTCACAGCCAAAATTAAATGTCCATTACTGGGTTGACATAGTCTTGTAATGACCTCTGCATGTCTCATGAGTCTGAGAATTTGGCCAGCTCTTCTGGCTCAAGCAGCTCTTTGAACTGCTGCCTAGAATGCGTGCCTCCCGCTCCTGACCTCTCCTCGGGCTGTGACCAGGCCCTTCCCCTGCTGAAAGTACTTTCATTCTCTCCCTTGCTCCCTCACTCTCACACACACTTTACTCATCCCGGCTTCCTCAGGGAAGCCTTCCCTGACACCACCCTGCGGAGAGTGTCAGACCCTCATCACACTATCACAGCCAGTTTGTTTTTCTAATTATTTGGTTGTTTCTCTGACTATATTTATTGGATAAATGAAGTGCATTACCTTCCGTTTGGCCCACATTTTTAATTAACGTACTACTTCCTATAAAAAAGAAAGATATTGGTAGTATCTGTAAGCATTCATTATAAAAAGACTGGCTTTATAACATCCTTTCTTTTCCCCATTCCCAGTGCTTCTGAAATTCCGCACAGATAAAGGGAGAGATCCCAATTCTGATACCTATGCGGAAGATTCTGAGTTGCTGCTTCACATTCGGAATGATGTGCTTGACTCTCTGGGTGTGACTCCTGACCTGCTTCCCGACGACTTCGTGAGGTTAGTCTGAGTATTTTTCAGGGCTTAGCCTGGACAGATAAACATCATTGTCCAGCGTTTGCCTTGATTGGGTTGACCCTTCATGAAGACCCATCATTCTGAGAACAACACCCTGTACAGCATTCTGCCAGCCCTAAGCCTGTCGCCTCTCTTCTGGGATGATAGTATATGAAAATAAAAGAGGCACAGGTTCTGATTTTGACAATATGTAAAAATACTTAGAGTCACATGGTTCAAATTTCAAGACAGGCTAGGTGTGGTGGTGCATGCCTATGTAATCCCCGCACTTGGGAGGCTGAAGCAGAAGGATTGACATGAGTTTGAGGCCATCCTGTGTAACATAGTGACTTCAAAGCTGGTCTAAAGTACATAACAAGACCATGTCTCAAAACGGAATTCAAGGCAGGAGCCAGGTATGGTGGCATAGTACTGTAACCCCAGCACTCCCAGGGCGAGAGACGGGATCACAGATTTGAGCCTAACAAGAGTAACTTAATGAGACCTTGCCTCAAAACAAAAGAAAAGAAAGGCCATATAAGTAACATTAACACTATCCTGTTCATGTCTTGTTTATTTTCTGTTAGCTTTTGGATTCCATTTCATGGTAAGTGCATAATTCCCTTTTTCCTTTCTTTTGTACTGGGGATTGAACTCCAGCCCTTGCAATTGCAAGGGGGGCAGCAGAACCACTGAGCCAACTCCCCGGCCTTAATTTCTTTTCTGTACCTTTGTACTATCCCTGATAGCCGGGATGAATTTGTTTTGTTTATTTGTTTGTTTGTTGTGGTGTTAGTGATTGAACCCAGGATCTTCAACCTAAGCTATATCCATAGCCCTTTTTTAGTTTTTTGAAACAGGATCTTGCTGAATTCCCTAGGCTGGGCTCATATTTGTAATCCTCCTGCCTCAGCCTCTGATAGTGCTGGGATTATAGGCATGAGCTGCCATGCTTGTCTTGGAGCAATATGGTTTACTGAACAAGTGGTCTTCTTGCTGGGATTTAGGTTTTCGTCGTCACGGCACTGGTGTATCATTTGTGTGTACACAGTGGGCCACTGTGTGTTGCAGGATAAACGAGTAGGAAGGGAGTTGCTCAGTCTGAAGTTAGGGTAGGCATTGCCACTTTTCCTCCATTGTTTGCCTAGCATTTTGTATCTCCACCAACAAAAACATCCAGGTCCTCAGCATGCCCTCCCTTGAGTGCTAAGGATGCTTTCACCTTAGACTTCTAGTCAGCCGTTATACACAGTCGGGCTTAGGATTTGATTGAGATCAAAAGGTAACCAGATTGGGAGCTCCTTCCAAGCAGTTCTGGGGTCAGCTGCTCACTCTGGTTCCTTTGCTGTGCCTCCAGGGTACAGCAGTGATGGTGGTGGTGGTGGTGGCGGGTGGTGGTG